AACAGCCAGAGCTGAGCCAGATTGAACTCAGTGCAGGACTCCCATGTGTCGACGGGGACTCATTTGCAGCCTCTTTCATGGGCATTAGCAGGAAGTCAGGTTGGAAGGGGAGGTGGGCCTGACCACAGGTACATGGGCAAGCAATGCAGGCATGCCGAGGAGCAGCTTACCCCGCTGTACCACCACACCAACCCGCTTTCTCCTGTAACTTCTTTGTTTACAATTGACCCTTCGTGCTCTTTAGTCTCAAAGTATGTTCACTGGAGAGACATGATGTCATGCTCCCAGACAGTACAGACAGCAAAGTGTTCCTTGCTGTGGATGACCCAGATGTGCCTCTTGCTGCTGGAGTGTCTACACCCTACACCTGTGCTGTGTTAGAGGTTGTTTCTGCTTCCGTTTGGTGGAGATCTTGTGGAAGGGATGAATTTCTGGTTGTGTTGGAGAGATTAGTAAGGGTGAAGGAATATCACACTTATTTAAAGCAAATGAAAAACTAAAAGAATATCACTTCTGGTGCTAGCTTAGACAACATGTGTATCTGGGAAGCCATATAGCTTCCTTCCATTTACTGTAAATGTTTTGTCACACAAAAATTCAATACTATGAGTCTTTAAACACCCTAATCCAATTGAGTGCATCCTTTGGTAAAATTGTTGAGAAGTGGTTGGTTGTGCCTCACTTTAGACTGAAAAAGTGAATCTGGAGATTCTTTTGGCTTAATAAAAACTTTTCTGTGACTTGGCACAGAAACCCGAGAAAGTAAAGTAATTACTGTGCTGGGAAATGAAGTACGTCACTTTCAGAGGAGGCGGCGACCCTGCCCACAAACTGTCCGAAAGCGTGGCCGGGTGAGTGGCCCTGCGTTACAGCCACAGTCAGGTTAAATGTCGTCTTACGGCGTTCAGCACAGGATACCACATGTAAATGAGGTGGTCCCTGGTTAGGCGGCGACTTGGAAAGTGTCAGAAGCTGATCAGCGCTCTTTCTCCTCACCCCTCCCCACCACACACACCAAAAAAACTCTTAATTTATTCTTTATTTGAAAGGCAGCAAAAGACAAACACCTTCCATCCTAGGTCAATCTCCAGATGTCCAAGAACCTGGAACCTAGTGTAGCTTTCCCCAAGTCCTTGAGCCACCACCCACTGCTTCCCAGGGTGTGCAGAAGCTGAGCTTGAGAGTGGAGCCAGGACTCGAACCCAGGCGCTCTGGTATGGCATCCCAAGGAGCATTGCCTGCCCAGCAGCCTTTTTGGAGGGGGAGAGTAGCAGGGGTGATGTCCTTACACTCAGCCAGTCCTGCCCAGGCTGGGCTGGGGCATCCCGCGGATGTCACAGGTAGAATGACCCAGAGCTGTGAGCACATTTTGCAGACAGCAGGTGCATTTCCGCTTCTCTAGCACTGCGTGCTGTGTGCTGCTTTCCTGACGTTCAGTGTGGGAGGCCAGGGAAGGAAGGGGCTTTTCAGCATGCAGTCGCACTGTAACAGTCACAGCTGCCTCAAGCGCTGTGTGCCAGGCGGCGAGATCACGGCTCACAATTCATTGTTTCGTGTCGTCATCACTATACGCAGATGACTGACCGTATTAGGTTCCTGTAAGGGTTGGAAAAAGTGAGACTCGCAAAGGTGAAGTCTGCCCAAAGGTTACCCAGCCACAAATGGCAGAGCCCAGATTCAGCCCCGGGCCGCCCTGTGTGGGCTCTTAACCACAGCGCTAAATCCGGCTGCTGCCATTACACAGGGCACGTGTCTGCCCACGTGTGCGTGTGCCCACGTGTGTGTAGTAAATCTTGGGGGAGGGGAACAGTTCAAAGCCACAGTGAGATCCTTCTTCATAACCACTGGCATGGCTGTCCACTTTCTTCTTAGTGAAAAGTAACAAATGTTAAGATTGTGAGGAAATGAAAATCCCATCCCTTGCTGGTGGGACTGTGTAGTGATGCAGCCGCCATAGCAACCAGCCTGGCAACTCCTTAGAAAGTGAGCAGGGCAAGGTTGTTGCTGGCTGTGCTGCCTTTGAAGATGTGCAGACACCAAAACCAACGCACAAAGGCACGGTGTCATCCAAAACAGCCAGGGGCGTGGCCAGGCCTCAGAGCCCGGATTGGAGTCCTGGCTCCCCCAGAGTCACCCTGGGAAGTGGCAGGTGATGGTGGCTCAAGCACTTAGCTTTCTGCCACCACATGAGGGACCCTGAGAGAGCTCTGAGTTCCCGGGTTCAGGCTGGCAGTGCCCTCACTGCTGTGACTGTGTGGGAGAGCAAATCAGTGGGTAGGAAATCTCAATCAACATTTATATCCCTGCTTTTCAAATAAAATAAAAAACTGAATAGGCAAAAGGTGGAGGCAGCCCACATGTCCCCCAGCTGAGCAATGGGTGACCAGTATGTGGCATGCACACACATGGAATATTTATTCAGTCCTAAGAAGGAATGAAGTGCTGACATAGTCAAACATTGCAAAGTACACTTGCCAGGCATCGGGATGGTACTGTGGCAAGTAGGGTAAGCTCCCACCTGTGGTGCCAGTGTCCTATATATGTGCTTAAAGTCCCAGCTGCTCTGCTAATGGCCACTTCTGATCCAGCTCCCTGCTAATGGCCCGGGAAAGCAGTGGGAGATGGCCCAGTGCTTGGGCCCCTGCACCTGCATGGGAGAGATGGAAGAAGCTCCTGGCTCCTGGCTCCTGGCTTCAGACCAGCCCAGTTCTGGCCATTGAAACCATTTGGGGAGTGAGCCGGCAGATGAAAGGCCTATCTCTCTCTGTCTCTTCTCTCTCTATATATATCTTTCAAATAAAAATAAATCTTAAAAAAACTCTTTAAAAATGTCAGGAATAGAAGGCCATGTATGTATATTGGTATGACTGCATTTTTTAATTGTTTATTTGAAAGGCAGAGTGACAGAGAGAATTGGGCCGGGGGAGTTATCTTACCTCCACGCATCATGCCCCAAATGTCTGTAACAACCAGCCCTGGACCCGATTGAAGCAGAAGCCAGGGACTCCATCCACCTGATCTCCAACATGAGTCCACGGTCCCAAATACTTGGGCCACCACCTGCTGCTCCCTTCCCAGGCCCGTGAGCAGGAATCAGAGCAGCTGGGGCTTGAGCCAGCACTCCAGTCAGCCATGCCAGCACTGCCAGCGTTGGGCTGACACTGCACCCCAAGACTGGCTGCATAGGACTCTGTTTCGTGAAACGCTCAGAATAGCAAGAGACAGATCAGTGAGGGGCAGGTTCTGGGGGATGAGAGATCGGAGTGACTGTTAACAGGTGTGGGGTTTCTTTCTGACCGGAGGGAAATTGTGGAATTGGGTAGGGCTTTATGGGTGGGTGTTCAGCATGGTGAACATACTGAGATCCACCCAACTATGCACTTTGAAGAGCTGGGTTTTTAAAAAGGCAACTTCAGGAGCCTGTGTGGAGGTCTAGCAGGCTGATCCTCTGCCCATGTCCCGGCTGCTCCACTTCCCATCCAGCTCCCTGCTCGTAGCCTAGGAAAGCAGTGAGGATGGTCCGAGTCCTTGGGACAAGGGAGATCCCTAAGCTCCTGGCTCCAGCTTTGGACCTGCTCGACTCTCGCCCTTTGTGACCGTTTGAGGAGTAAACCAGCAGATGGGAGATCCTTCTCGGTCTCTAACTCTGACAAGTTCAGCAAGTAAGAAAAAAATTTTTTTTTTTTTTTTTAATAAAAAGGCAACTTCAGAGTCAGATCTGGGAGGGCTGCAGTGGCCAGGGTTCACCTGCAGGCAGCAGAAGCCACTAAACTTTTCTGCGGGAGGAGAATGGCATGATGGGAGCATGTCAGTGCAGGGTTAGCGTGTGGCAGGTGTTCAGCAGTAAGCAGCCCATTCTCTCTTACTGCCTGATGCAAGCCCCCCATTGTTCTAGGGTAAAAACTGTTCTTGTCTATTTGGAGTCTCATGGAAAACCCTCTGTTTTAATCACCATGGTTTCTGAAGCCCACACCTCCCACCGAGCCCCCTGCTTGTCCTCTGTGGGTCTTGGCCACTCTGTGCTCAGCCGGTCTGCCCAGCTTCCTCCTGCTCCTCTCCTCTCTTCTCCCTTCTTCTTCCATCTTTCTTGTCCTCCCCACTCCTAATCCTTCCTCCTCCACATCTTTTTCAAAACAGCTTGCAGGAACTGGTGTTCATTTAAGACCCCTGCATCCCACGGCAGAGCACCCAGGCTTGCTGCCTGCCTCCAGCTCCCGAGCCCAACTTCCTGCTGAGGCAGACCTTGGGGACAGCCACGGTTCGGTTCAAATGCTTGGGTTTCTGCCTCCTAGGCGAGAGCCCTGGATAGTTTCCAGCCACAACTCTTGTGGGCATCCGGGGAGTGAACCAGCAAGTAGAAGTTCTGTTTCTCTCTGTTCTTTTCAAGTAAATAGGAATGCTTTAAAATTTGATATTATTGTTTTGCCAAATCCCTCAGAGATTTCACCTCCACTCACAAATGCTACACTTCTCTGGTCTCCATTTCTCCATCTTCCAATCTCATATGCCCTGCACAGCCAGGAGCATGGTGGGAATTCCTAGCAGTCCTGGCCCACGCCAGCCCCAGACCTGCAGGCTCCAGTGGCTGGTTCGCATGGTATGCCCCAGTAGTGCCAGCAGCGGCTGCAGTGCCCAGAGCTCTTTCGAGGATGCCATGCACTGGGAAGTGGGTCTGGTGCCCACTACCTCAACTGTACCTAAGGGAGGGCAGCTAAAGTGCCACCAAGACCATGGAGCTGGGGGTTAGCACACCACAAAAATACCCCTCTTCCTTTAGAAGCTTATTTCCTCTCGAGTATTTTAAAGGACATACTACAAAGTTTTGCCATAGATTTTAAGTGACAAAATTCTGTTCCCAAAGTCCTCTGGGAAATGTCCCAGACATCAAAGAGCCCTTCCAAGAAGCGGTCACTAGTGCCATTATCATCCAAGGGACTTGGGAGTTCCTGGGGATTTTGGGGGTCAGCAAGAGTCAAAGGAACCACTTCACAGGAGGAAATCGCTGTGGGGCTTTCCCGCGAGGCTCCGCCCCGGCTGAGTCATCAACTGCAGGGTTGGTCCTACAGCCCTCTGAGCCTGAGACTGCAGAGCAAGCAGCTGCAATCGTGAGAGCTCAAGGTTTGTCCATGTGGGGCAGATGAGGTGAGGGGTCCAAGGTGGCAGGGAGGACAGGACCTGGGCTGGTGGGCACAGTGCTTGTCCTTCTTCCCATCCACACATGTTCTCTTCGTTGCCTATCACAGTCAAGAGCCTGGCAGTGGAGACGTTGGCACTCTGGTTTTGCAGTGAGGCAAGTCCCTGTCTGCACTTAAGACAAGTGTGGTAAGGGATGGCGCCTAGAGGGTCCTCAGCACTTTAGCCACGTGGTGTTCGTCTGAGGGGGCTGCGATCGCGATGGGGTGGCGGTGGGAGACCATCTCACCTTGGGAATGTTTGCCTTTCGCAGAGTGGTATTTCTGAGTCCATCTCTTTTGGTTAAAATTCTTTGGGAATCTGCTCTGCTCCTATCCCATCCATGCAAGATCCCATGATGAGAAGTGGCTACTACAACATGGTGACTACTGTGCTGCTGATCATGAACTTGGAGAGAACAAGACCAATGCAGGATCCCTGTGCGAACTGTCCAGCTGGTGAGTACCAGCCTATTGGGTGCCCCGGTCTACTCTGTTGAAACCTTGGCTCAGTCGGTCCATCCAGCCACGTGAGTTTTTCTTCATTCATTTCGATGTGTTTGCTGGGTGCTGCATGCTGGCTGTGTCATTTAACCTCCTGTGCCTGGACTTTGTCATTTGGATATCATGAGAGAACCTGTCTGTCTCAATGGACCTCAGGGGTCGGGGTTCCCTAAAGGGACATAGGGCACAGTGCAAGACCCAAGTAAATGTTGGTTTTGAGTTCAAGCCCCCGTACTCTGACCTGGCACAGCAGGGACCAGCAGGTGCACAGGATGCCACAGTAGGAGAGACTGGTGTGAACTCTAGGAAACCACCGAGGGCCTCTGAGCTCCCAGGGGAGCTCTTCACCTTGGGCTCCTGGGTTGATGCAGACAGAACACCATTATGTTTTCCTCAGTAGAGAATGAGAATATTTTCTCACTGATTTGGTTATCACATACACGTGTTTCTAAGTCCGTGGCTAGGCTAAGCAGAATCCTGCACATCATGTGTAACTTCAAAAAGGCAGTCAACACGATGCCTATCACTGTGATGTCCAGATGATGAGTCATTCATTTACGTTCTCATCTTCTTGCAAACCTCATGCGATTTCGGGTCATGGTTGTCCACTGTCCATCATGCACAGCCATTATCCGCCTTTCTTAGGCACCTTCTGTGGGAAAAGCAGCCATCGAATTTTCGCTCCCTGCCCTCCCAGCGGCGCCCCCTGTGACAGTGAACAGAGAAGCTGTGAGCTCTGCAGGAGCTGCGAAGGTATGATTTGGAAAAGATGTGCTGTTCTTTCCCAGGAACAATATGGCTTATTCCCTCTTTACTATCTCCAGTGAAAATCTGGCATTAGCAGTACTGATTCCTCTGCCAGCAGACAGGTCTAGTCAAACAGTGTAAGTGCAATTATTTGTGGATCGAGCTTGTTAAATGTTAAATGTTAGTGGAAACATTTGTTTGAGGAGAGAGGTTCTTTTGGGAGGGTGAGAATGAAGTTTTTAGGTTTATTTACATATCAAAATCAGTGACACAGAAAGAGAGATGGATGGATGACGCAGGGTGGATAGATAATCTTCCGTCCACTGGTCCACTCTCCAGTGGCCACAACAGGCAGGGATGTGGCAGGCTGAGTCTGTCACGTGGGTGGCAAGGACTCAGGTGCTTCAGCCATCGTCTGCTGCTTCTCAAGCACATTCCAGGGAGCTCTGCTGAAAGACAAGCAACTGGACTGTAGGTGTACCTGCTGTGCAGTAATGCCTGCACTGGGAGTAAACATTTTACATTTATCTCTTTGTTTCAGAGAGAGAAAGAGAGAGAGGCAGAGAGAGGTCTCTTACACACTGGTCACTGCCCCAGATACTCACCATAGTGTTGGGCCAGGCTGGAGCTAGGAGCTGGGAGCTGGGAACTCAGTCCCTGTGTCTCCCACGTGACTAACAGGAATCCAATCCCTTGAGCCATCACCACTGCCTCCTGGGTCATGCATTTGCAGGAGACTGGATGTTGGGAGCCGAGCTGGGACTGACTCTAACACAGGCACTTTAATGTGGACATGGGTGTCTTAACTGGTGTCTGAACCACTGGGCCAAGCAGACGTCCTGGGAGAGAAGCTGACTGGAAAGTGTCAAAAGGGCTTCACAGAGACTTAGAAGTAAATGCTATGTCCAAAAGTCAATAGGAACACTGCAAGGAGAGTGAGCCTCACCTTTATGAAAATTTGCTTCACAGGGAGGCAGGTCAAGGTCATTCCATGTTGGGGTTTTTGCAGGTGTTTTTAGGACCAAGACGGCCTGCTCTCCCACCAGCAACACCGAGTGTGAGTGCATCGCTGGGTACCACTGCTTGGGGCCAGAATGCCATATGTGTGAACAAGATTGTGGCCAAGGTCAAGAACTTACAAAAGAAGGTAGGCTTTCTCCTCTTAATGTAGCTCAAGTTCATTGGGTAAACTTATCAGTAGCTTGGGTCTTGATTCTTCAGGAAGGAAATACAAAATGGATTTGCAGAGCCTTTAAATGATAAGCAATGAATCAATGAGTCAGGTACTGATAGTATCACTTTAATTTCCATTATTTTTTCAGACATGGACTTTTCTTGAAACTAGAACTTTTATTAATCCCTAGAGCCATGCATCCTTACATCTCTAGGCATATAAAACACTTGACATACCATTAGAAGAAAAACAATCCTGGGGTTTCATTGTAAGAGCTGATGAACAGTTAGTGCAGGTCGGGTGCTGTAATGACTGTTCTACGTCCGTTGTAGGAGCGGTTTTGAAACGGGGGGAATGTTCACCCTGTGGCTGCTTTGCTTTTCTTGCAAGGTTGCAGAGACTGTCGCACTGGCACGTTTAACAACCAGAAAGGCAGCATCTGTCGGCCCTGGACCAAGTACGTATTCCTTCCTTTTACTGACAAATGTGAATTCCCTTCTGCTTGTGTAATGAAGAGTCGGAGTTCAGCTTTTTTCAGAACAAAGAGAGACTGAAGCTCTAGGCCTTCAGCAGCTTTAGCAGGGAGGCGGGGCTGGGGAGGCCACAGTGGCCCGTGCGCTGTCGGCAGGCAACCCAGAAATTCTTCCAGAGCATTTCCAGGGACCCTATGCCCTCTTCCGCCGCCATTGGTCTGTTTCCTGTTTCCTTCTCATTTTTGTGGCTGCCTCTCCCTGCACCACTGACTGGCCAGTTCTCAGGTATTCCATGCCATCCCTGAGAACGACACAGAACAAGGGGCTAGTGTGATTCTCACGTTGCAGAATGTGCCGTGCACTCTGGTGTACCCCACCACAGATGGCAAACAAGCCCATGGAGTGCAAGACAGTGAGAGTGCAAGCTGGGTCTAAGCCCGAGCTGCTCGCTGTGTGCCGTGGACAGGTGCTGGCCTGTGAGCCACTTGCTGCTCTGCCATCACACCTGTACAGGTACAAAGAGTGAGCCTAAGGAATAAGCCCTTAAGGCACATTGGCACAGTTATGTGAGCTGTGATCCTAAGTACTCAATATCTGGGCCTCACATTTTCTTTTTACTTCTTCTTCTTTTAAAAATAATACTTCATTTTATTTTTGATTATGTTTACATAGTTGAGAAAGATGCGTGTCTATGTGGACCATTGCTTAGGGTGGTGAGGGTCAAGGAATGGGGAAAGTGGGTGATACAATTCCCTTAATATCATTTTTTTTATTATTATTACTGTATCTGGGAAAAGAGAGAAGAGAAGGGGAGAGGGCTGCTTTCAGCAACCCACTGTGTTAGTACCTGGGATTGGGGAATGGCTACCAAGTATCATCCCCGGGACCCCTGTGTGGAGCATGTTCTGGGGGTACTGCCTAAGTGGTTTTGATAGCTCTGAGATGTTATTGATTTCATTCCTCCAAGGTTGAGGAAATCTTTCCAAGGTCCATTGGCTGACACGGTCCACCTTAAGTCTCTACTTGCCTGGGTACTTGCTGTCAAAGCTTGACCAGGAGAGCTGTCCAATTTGTTCTGCCCTCCATGGTACTAGATGCCCTCTGCAGGTCTCAAGGAACTGGTTCTCATGTCCCCAGTGTGTATCTGGGCATGTTGTCTGCTGTACAGACTTCAACCATAGGAGACCCAGTTCTGACACATGCACTCCACAACATTGTGATATTCCCTCTGTTAGGAATTTTGAATTCAGTAATCCAGTCGGGGGGTTCCCCAAAGAAACCTCACCAGAGGTGCCCTCGGACCTGACTCGTGTGTGTGCCAGCCATTGTGGGTCTGGCTCAGCGCATCATCCATATCAGCCCGCACATACACACTGGTAGTTGCAGTTGCCTGGTCACTTCTGCCCACAGCTCCATCTCACATACAAACCAGTGGATGCTGAGGCCCGGCCCAGCCCTGCCCACCATACACTTGGCCCTCATGCACACCAGTGGAAACTGCAGCCTAGTCGGAGTGACCCCAGAAGCCCCACCAGGCCTGCTGCCAGCCTCGATTCCTATGAATGCTGGTATATGCAGGGATGTGCCAGTCTGCCCAGCATCCCACTTGCCTCTTACACACATTGGTGGGTGTTGGAGCCTAGCTCAGCTTAACTGAGCCACTGTCCAGCTCACACTCATGCTGGCAGGTGCTACTGCCTGTCCAGCGAGGCCACCCTCAGCATTGGTTCCCATGCTCACTGGTGGGAGCTGCAGCCCATCAGAGAAGTGCTCACAATTTTCCTACTTGGTCCACTCTCAGCTTCAGATCTTATACTTCACAAGTGGTTCTAGGTTTAGCTTGACAGGACTTGCCTCCAGTCCCGGATCCTGCTAACTGATGCTCTGGCAAACCCAGCCACCTTGTACTTGCTCTGACTCATGCGTGTACCAGTGGATGTGGTCGCTTAGCCCAGTCTGGCTGTCCTTACCCAGCTCACATGCACACCAGTGGGCTTTGTAGTCCTGCCCATCTGAGTTTTTACTCTCACCAGCAGGAGCAGTGGCCCAGCAGGGGGAACCCTCACAGCTCCCCTACTGGGCTGCTAATGTGCTATTGGGAGCTGTGCATCAGTCTGGCATGGACCACCTCACTTCAGCATTCACCAGCAGGTACTGTGGTCTGGCTCAGCCCTGCCTGCCCCAGTTCCAGCTCATGCTGGCAGACGCTACAGCCTAGCCCAGCCCAATCAGCACCCACACCCAGCTCTGTATGAACTGGCTGGTGTTATGGTCCTACCCTGCCTGTGTTGTACCCCATCCTGGTTCTCACATGTGCCAGTGGGTGTTATGAACTGGCCTAGCCTGGCCCTCCCCCAGAACTGACCCACACTTATGCTGGCTGGTACTGTAACGTGGCCTAGTCTGGCCTGCCCCAGCCTTGGTTCTTGTGCTCACCTTCAGGGACTGTGTCCTAACAGAGGAGTTCCCCATGCTCCTCTATCAGGCCACCTTCCTCTGGCAGATCTCATGCACTGGTAGATTCTTGGCCCACACCCTGTCCTGCAGGTACAGCGGCCTTGCTCAAACAGTCCACACCCATTCTGGCTCTTACTGTTGGGTGCTACAGCTCAGCCCTTTCTGGCCCACCCCTAGACCCAGCTCTCAAATGGTTCAGTGGGTCCTGAGACCTAGCATAGCCTGTCCCATCCCTACCCTGGCTCTTGCAGACACCAGTGGATATGAGAGCCTAGCCCAGTCTAGCATACCTCAGACACAGTCCACCCCATGCCATGGGATACTACAGCCATGTCCAGTGCAGTTCACTGCCCCATTCCAGCTCTTATGTTCACTAGCGGGAACCACAGCCCAGCTGGGGCATCCCCTTAGCTCCCCAACTAGGCTTGCTCCCAGCCACAGATCTTGTGCATGCCAGTGATTGCTCTGACTAAGCCTGGCATAATCCATCACCCTTCTTAGCCTTTGCCATCGCATGCTGCAGCCTGGCCTGGCCCACCCCATCTGCAGCTTCAACTTTCACTGGTGGTTGCTGCAGCCTAGCCCTGCACAGACTGCCCCTATCCCTGGCTTTCATGTAGACCAGTAGATGTGACAGCCTATTCTCGCCCACATAGCCCGCAGCCCATCCTGGCTCCTGCATGTGCCGGTGTGACATTGTTTTTCCTGGTGCTGCCCAGTCTGCCCCCACCCAGAGCCAACCTAACTGAAGCAGCCCTGCCTGACCTGATCCACACCCATGCCTGACTCACGTGTTCACCGGTAGGAGTGATGGCCCACCAGAGCAGTTCCCCAGGGTTCCCCACCAGGCCCACTCCCAGACCCAAATTTCACATGTGCCAGGGGTGCTAAGGCCTACCTTTTCTGTGCCCTTGTTTCTTTTTCATTTGATTTTTCTTCTAAGAATTTTTTGTTATGCTTTAAAAGTGCATTGGTTTGTGATAAACTCGTTTTTGTGAAAAGTCTCTCAGTACCAATTGCTCAGAGTTTACAAATGCATCTGCGGAGAGCCGGTGTGAGCTAGGCTCTGGAGGGTGTGTTGAGACATGGTAAAGCGGCCAGGAAAAAGACCCAGCAGCCTTAGTGCTGATGAATACGATGACCGTGTTGATAATGATGGTGAGGAGAATGATGGCGACGATAAAGCCTACGATGGTGACGATGATGATGGTGTGACGGTGGCAATGACGACAGGCAGGAGGAGGGTGGTGATGGTGGGGAACTGGGTGACAGTGAAGGTGACGATGGTTCCGACGGTCGTGATGGTGGTGATGACAGTGATGATATGCTGTTGGTGTTGTTGGGGGATGGTGATGATGACATCATGAGAATGATGGCGTGAGTGAGTGAGGAGGATGGTGATATTGATGAGAATGATGGTGGTGGTGATGAAGGTGACAGTGATGATGTGATGAGAGAGGTGGGAGTGAAGATAATGAAAGCAGCCGTCGAGTGTGACAGCCACACAAAAGAACAGACGTTCATTCATTCCTCACTGTTGTCCCAGCAGCCTGTACACTTTCTCATTTAGCAGAGGAGAGAACCGAGCGCTTCACTTGCCCGAGGTCATCTGCTATGCGGCAGGCCCAGGCTCCACCCTGATCTTTTTGATGCTAATATCAAAATTCATAATGTAATGCCATCCTTTCTACGTGCCCGAGATAGTCAAACATGCTTAAGGTGTTGCAGGTGAGAAGGGCACAGCAGAAGGCCAGGTGGCTCCCTGAGCAGGGAAGAAAGAAGAGTCCAGTTAGGAAGTGGAGAGGTGGGCTGCAACTTTGAACACCGAGTGGACACTGGAGGAGCCAGAGACCAGACCCACAGATCAGCATCCCCCAGCTGCTCCATTGGTAGCGAATATCAAAGGGTTTTGTTTGAAATCCTCTGCGTTTTACTCATTTGCACTATTTTCCTTGATCTTGTTAAGCTGCTCTTCGGAGGGAAAGTCTGTGCTTGTGAAGGGGACGAATGTCAACGATGTGGTCTGCGGGCTGACTTTGACCGGCTCCTCTCCGGGTACCACCTCTGCCACTGTGCCTGCACCTGCAACAGGAGAGCCAGGTAGCTGCTTTCTCGCTCTTCAATCAAGTGACTGTGTCATGACTACTGCAGTGGGTATCTGATCTGTCTCCATTTGCAGTTGCACCTCTCCTCCACTGCCCTCTGACCCCGCCTTCAGAGTGCCTTGTTTTCTCTCAGGGCTTTGGCATTCAGTCCCAGAGTGAAGTGGAGCAGCAACCCAGGGGACAGGGTGAGGAGGGTGATTACAGGACCCCTTTTTATTAGTTACTAATAAATGCCAAGGTAGGAGGTGAGCGAGTCCTCTATTTCCTGTACGCCAGGAGCACCTTGCCACTTCATTGGCGTGGGCTTGTATGAATACTACCAGGTCTTTTTTCCTTTTAATTGTGTAAGTTTACTAAATTAGCAGGTTGGAAACAACCAAGCCTGCTCCCTTCCTGCTTGGCAGTATGCCGGGAAAGCACGAGTGTGTGTGTCCATCTTGCCTGTCTTCCACTTCACAGGGCACAGTCCGCAGATGTTCACCTTCCTGCTGACACTGACGTGGGCTGCCATGCTCTTCCTGCTCTTCTTCCTCGTGCTCCACTTCTCCCTGGCCAAACGGAGCAGAAAGAAACTCCTGTACCTGCTCAAACAACGTAAGGCCCATGTACCCGTGGGAGACAAGTCTTATCTAAAAAAACCAGGCAGGGGTTTTCATGGTATAAAGGAATATATACGATTAAATTACAAAAAATGGCTGGGAACAAGGACATTCCTAAGGTCAGGAAACATGTGGCAACAAAAATAGTTATGGGATCACAGGCCACAGTTGTGGTGGTCACAATGGAGACATTAGGCAGTGGTAGATGGTCATGGTGGTGGATGGTGATGGTGGTAGATCGTCATGTTGGTGATGGCGGTGATGGTCATGGTGGTGGTGATCAGGGTGGTGGATGGTCATGGTGGTGGCTGGTGATAGTGGTGGATGGTGATGGTGGTAGATCATCATGTTGGTGTTGGCGGTGATGGTCATGGTGGTGGATGGTCATGGTGGTGATGGTGGTGGATGGTGATAATGGTGGGTGGTCACGTTGGTCATGGTGGTCATGGTGGTACATGGTCATGGTGGTGCATGATCATAATGGTGTGCCATTGGTACCTAGTGGGTGGGAGCTAGGGATGTTGCTGCACTTCTGCAGTGCACCTGCCCCCAACAAAGAGTGATGCAACCCCAAATGCCAGTAGTGCTGGGGCAGAGAAAGCCTGGATGTGGCAGAGCACACCCTAGCATTCAGGCGCAATAGCAGTTAGGGCCACCACACATGCCTCTGTGTGTGTGTGTGTGTGTGTGTGTGTGTGTGTGTGTGTGTGTGTGTGTCTGTGTGTGCCTATAGAGGAATTCTCCCCAGCTCTCAACCCCACACTGCTCCTCTGGGTGGTAAACGCCGTTCACCTGAGTCAAGATTCATCCCTGAGGAAGGCACAGGACCCTGGGAGGGTTTGGAAGCGGACTTCATGAGATGGATTATGATCACACGATGAGAGATTTCAGAAACTGCTTTCGTTTGTTCATTCAAACAAGAGTCAGGTAAGGAATGCAGGGCTGGGGTGAGTCAGCATGAGAGCTGTTAGTGTTTATGGCAGAGTCGGGAAAGACTGTTCCTATATCTGAGTGGAGGACAAGACCTGCACTTAGCAGGACAGCTCATGTAGAGGAGCTACTTTGTGATGGCAAAGCTGTCCTTCTAGAAGTTGTTCAAATGGTTTGCAGGAAAACCCCAAGTCTTATCTAAAAACGTACTACAGTAATTCACTTACAGCTTCCTTGAAAAATAGTGTATAACCTTTCATGTTGTGATACAAAGATGCATAGATGTGAAGTTTGCAAGCTACTGTTGGGTGAGCAGTTAAGATGCCCACGTCCCATGACGGGTCCCTGTGCATCCTGCTAATGCAGACCCTGGCAGGCATCAGGGACAGCTGGCAGCCGGGTTCCTGCTGTCCACGTGGGAGCCTGGGGTAGTGGTTTTAACTCTTGGCTTCAGGGCTGGCCCTGCCCTGTCCATTGTGGGCATTTAGGAAGTGAACTTACAGATGGCAGCATTCTTTCTCTCTTGCTTATCTCTTTTTTCTCAAATAAACCAATTTTAAAAATTGAGAAGGGCCTAATGCAATGGGGTAGCAGGCTAATTCTATGCCCATGGTGCCAGCATTCCATATAGCTGCCGGTTTGAGTCCTGGCTGCTCCACTTCTGAGTCCCAGCTGCTTCCTATTACTGTGTGGAGAAGCAGCAGAGGACGGCCCAAGTCTTGGGTTCCTGCACGCTGTGGGAGGCCCCAGCTCTGACTGTCGCAACCATCTGGGGGGATTGAACTAGCACATGGAAGACCACTCTTTCTGTCTCTCTGTATGTCTGACTTTCAAGTAAAATAAATGAATCTTCAAAAAAATTCAGAAAAGGCTCACCCCATCCCCCTCCCATTGAACATCTACACGAACCCATCCAGAGTGAGATATGGGACATGATCTGCTCTGGGGAGCCCATGGCATACCACTTCCAGGTCACACCACCTCCAGGTCACCACTTCCAGGTCAGCACCCTCCCTCCCACAGCTACTAACCACATCCAGTGTTTCCCAGTGTCCACTTCCTTGCTCGACTTTGTAGTTTTGCTGCCCAATAACATGGCCTCATGGGGCGGCGTGGGAGGCACAGGCTGCAGTTGGCTTTGTTGCCGTGTGTTCTGCTGGATGAGTGGTCTGTGTGTTGCCCCATGCTGACGCTGAGGGACATGGTCAGGGCTACTCCAGATAACAGTGCTGAAAGACTTTGGTCTACGTACCAGGGTCCACGCAGCCTGTCTTTGTTTTGGAACCTGAGACTACCATGCAGGAAGAGACAGAGAAGGGTCATTTCCCAAATGCCTATAGCAGCTGAGGCTGGACCAGACCCTGGTCAGAAGCCCCAAGCTCCATCCGGGTCTCCTGCATGGGTGGCCAAGCCCTGAGCCATTTCCTGCCACCTCACAGGAATACTGGAGGGAAGCTGGAAACAAGAGCTAGGACTGGAACCCCGAGCCCCGGGATGATGTACGGGTGCCCCAAGCCCATCCCTTGTCGCACTATTTTTAGCTGTGTGATGGGAGGATGTTGTGTCTCTTTGTGGTTTTGTGGGTTTTTTTTTTCTTTTTTTAGATTTGAGAGACACACACAGAGACAGACGTACACCTCTTACATTTTGTTTTAGTCCTGAAATCCTTCCCATGCTGAGCTAGACCTGAGCTGGAGCCAGGAGCCAGGAGTGGGTGACCTGGGCGACCCCACTGAACTCCCTGCGGAATCACTTCTGCTTTTCCAGAGTCTGCAGTAGCAGGAAGCTAGAGTCTGGAGCCAGAGCCACTTCCTGAACCCAGCACTACAGTGCAGGGCTAAGCGAAATGCCACCCGCTTTTAAAACTGTTAGCTTTTATTTATTAGAGAGAGGAAGAGAGCGCTCCCACCCCAGGCTTCGTTCTCCAGGCGCCAGGGCTGCAGAGGTGGGAATGTAACCCAGCTTCCCCACCTGGGTGACAGGGCCACATTCCACATCTGCCACTTCACGTGGGGCCATCAGCAGGAAGCTGGCATAGGGAGTGGAGTAGCAGGTATTTTTAAATTAGATTTGCATATTTATTTGAAAGGGAGGGAGAGATTGAGATCATGCATCTGTTAATCTTCTCTCCCAAACAGCTGGGGCTGGGCGGAAGCCAGGACCCGGAGCTTTTTCTGTCTCCCATTTGGGTCGCAGGGGCCCAAAGGACTTGGACCAGCTTGCAAGCAGCAAGCACTGTGATACGGGATGCAGGTGTCCCGAGAGCTTCTGAAGTGATCTCCCACATGCTGGTCCCTAACTGCATTTAGTTTTCATTTCCTTGCCTGTGGGGACATTAGGCACCTGTCCGGTGTTTTGTGTCCTCTTTTGAGAAGCCCCCCGGTTGAGTGGCTTGAGCTTCCCGCCCTCCCCCCGCCCCCAGGGCACTCTGTGCTTTCCTTGTGAATTTGCGGGCTCTCGCCTAGGGCGTAAATGCTTCATGTCTCCCTTCCTGGCACGCCTGCGTGCCCGTTCCCTGTGTCAGGTGCACATCTTTAACGTGAGTCCCAAAGCTGCCTGCGAACCCTGATGCGAAGCGCTGTTCCTCCCATTGCACCCCGAACACAGCCAAGTTCTCTACAAAATGCTTTTCAGAAGTATCTATGGGTAGTTAGGGAATTACAATGGACCTGTAATCCTGTTTTTTTTTTAAACGTTTTAGGTCATTTTAAAAGAGCTTTTTATTTTTATTATTTGAAAGGTGGAGCACCACCGAGTGAGAGAATCTTCCACCTGCAGATTCACTCCTGAGACAACCAACAGCCAGAGCTAGGCCAAGCTAGGCCAATTTCCAGGAAATTGCAAAGACAGTAAAGGCTCATAGTGTACAATTTCAAAACCAGTCAGAAATGTGACCCGCACACTGAGTGTGAATGGCTCCAGCCTTTATCCGGGGCAGATTTGGGTCAGCATCTGCACAACCAGTATGCAGCCCTCCCCTCCCATCCCTCAGCACCACGCTCTCCCACCCATGGCCCCTTCCCTGCCACACCTGCTCCCTCACCCCTCCCCGACAGCTACCACTGGTCTGCTTTCCATCTCTGTACTTTGGTCATTTTAAGACTGTTATACAATGGGACCATCTGAGGACACACAGGGTTTGTAAAAAGTAGAGTTGAAAGATTTGTTTATTTTTATGCAAAAATGGAAATTCAAGCACTTTTTCATAATGTCTGTTTTCTGTGAACTTTTTAAAAATTTTATTTATTTATTTATTTATTTATTTGGAAAAGCAGATCAGATTTATGGAGAGAAGGAAGGACAGAGAAAAGGATAGTCCATCCACTGGGTCACTCTCCACGTAGCCACAATGGCCAGAGCTGAGCCCTTCTGAAGCCAGGGGCCAGGAGTTTCTTCCAGGTCTCCCATGCAGGTGCAGGGTCCCAAGGCTTTGGACCATCTTCTGCTGCTTTCCCAGGCCACAGGCAGGGAGCTGGATGAGAAGCGGGGCTGCTGGGATTAGAACTGGTGTCCATATGGTATCCCGGTGCATTCAAGGCAAGGACTTTAGCCGCTATGCTGTCATGCTGGGCCCCTGAATAAACTTATCTTTAGCCCTTTCCTCCTACAGATTCTGTGAGGTCCCCTTTTACATGTTAGGACCTTTCATATCTTGGCCACTGGACTGTTCCTGCATGTCTTTTGCCTCTTTTTTTGTAACCAGATTTTGTTCTGTTATTGATGAGATTCATGAACGTTTTACATGTTTTGGAAGCGAGTCTTTGTCAGATCCATGGCTTGTAAACACCTGGTCCCTTCATGCTCCTCGCAGGGTTTGCCACAGAGAACCCTGTGACTTTATGAAGTCCAATGTGCCCTTTTGTTTTATGGATTGATTGTTTGATCAATTGATTGATTGTTTAGGGAGCAAGGTCTGAGATCTCTTCACCAAGTCCCAGGTCCCTTAATTATTTTCTGAAAGTTTTCTAGTTTCATATGTTCTATTTCAAAATGCATAATCTGTCACAGTTCACTGATGCCAGCTTGGCCAGCTCAAAGGAAATGCAGGAAGGTGCCTACCTTTGCCCTCCCTGGACCTCCTCTAATCTGTACTTGTCTTAAATATAAACAGACATCAGGAACTACATTGACAGTGCTATAATTCCTACTGCAGCTGCCAAACATGACTTAGACAATTCCAGAAACGTAACATCAATACATTTGCTTTTCCATGGTTCATCCTTCCTGAAGTTCTCACATTCCTTCTTCTCGTGTTTATTTTATGGTCGGAGACTTTTTCAGCCGTTCTTTACGGGTACATCTGCAGAAGTTAAATTCTGCCTTCCATTCATCTGAGTGTATCCTAGTACCGGTTCATGCCCCAAAATTCGGTTCATAATTATTTTCTTTCGGTTCTAGAAAAAAATATGGTGATTCTTCCTTTTGGCTTACGTGATTTTTCTTTCTAAATTAAAATCTATTTAATTCATCTGTTTATTTTAACGTTGTTTGAAAGGCAGGGACACAGAGAGAAAAAGACCAGAGATCTTCCACCCACTGATGCACGTCCCCTTGTCTGACCCAAAGGTGGGCTGGGCTGAAGCCAGTCCAGGCCTCCCACACGGGAGGCAGGGACCTAGAGCCTTCAGACCTTCAGCCGATGTCCTGGAATGTGCGTTAGCAGGAAGCTGGGTCAGAAGTGGAGAGGGACTGAGCCCACTGCACCAATACAGGGTGCAGGTGCCCAAAGGAGTATCCTAGTCACTGTGCCGAGGGCCCCGAGAGACGCCTGCCGTCCTTGGCTTTGACTCCCCTCGCCCAGGTCACATGGCCTCCCTTGGGCTCTGGTTTTTGGGGTTTGTTCTGTTGGTGTTCGCTCAGTCTTGGCAGGTGTTTTTATAGCTTTGGTGGATCTGGGAACACTTCAGGCACCAATTTTCCAGCTACATTTCATCAGGCTGGTTCTTCTCCTTCCCTTTCGGGGACCCGGGACGGGGGTCCCCAGCCTCAGTGACAGCCCCACACCCCCGTCCCAGGCATCCCCCACCATTCTTTCCTCACTCCTCTTCATCCTGCAATCAAGTCCATTTTCGAATGTTCAGTGTTTTCATGCTTCACATTGACACTGGATTCTCTGCTACATCTTTGATTTTTTTTTCATTTGTTCCAAGCATGTTGCTAATTGCAGGTGGGAGCTCTTTCATGGCAGCAAACTTAAAATCCTCCTTTGCAATTCTTCCATCTGCATTGTTACCCCCGGTGGCTTGCAAACTGAAGCCTTCCTGTCTGTTATGAAAACAGTGGATTTCTTTATTTCAGTTCTTTAAATTTTTTTTGAAAGAATTAATAGAGAGAGAGGGGGAAAGATCTTTCATCTGCCAATTCACTCCCCTGAATGGTCAGAACTGGCGCAGACCAAAGCCAGCAGGCTGGAACTCCGTCTGGGTCCCCCACATGGGTGCAGGCACTGAGGACTTTGGCCATCCTCCTCTGCCTTGCCAGGTGTGCTAACAGGAAACTGGATCGGAAGTGCATCTGGGACTCCAACTGGCACTCCTACAGGGGATGCTGGCATCGCAGGTGGAGCTTAACTCACTGTGGCCCCATCAACAGAGTTACATCCAGGCACTTTGGGTATTACGTTCTGACCCGCTGCAGTAGACATCCTAACTGCTACACCGGCTGCTGCCCGAGGTTGCTTTCAACATAGCAAGCAAGTGACAGTGGGGACCAACCACCACCACCACCACCACCACCTTTGTTTCAGGTGGACAGCTGTTCAACAAGGACACGAGAACATTACATGCACAGCAAAGCTGGAAGCTGACACACAAATCAGTCCTTTCCTTACTCTTACATTAAAGCAAGGGGGATAGTGGAAAAATCTTGAAGCCAAAACGCTTCATTAGAAAGAATAGAAAGAAACACTCTATGTCTGAGTTGCCCTCAGCACTGGACTGTGTGCTGGGGAGCTGAAACTTTGGGTGTATTTGGGGTATGGCTGTAGCAATTCATGCTCAAGGCTTTTGGAAGCCACTGTAGGAAACACAAACAGGCATTTTTCAAAGATAAAGGGTTTTGTTGGTGGAAAGCCATCTTAGGCAAGTCGGGGAAAAGCCGCTTTTGACGTGACCTGCATGGGGGTCGAGGTTGTTGAAACAGGTTGGTCCCGCCTGCTGCGTAGGGCTGGTCTGGGAAATGCGTGAACACAGACAACAGCATGTGTGAGCACTGGCCACTTGTTTCCCTAGCATTTATGAAACCGGTACAAACCGCTCAGGAGGAAGACGCCTGCAGCTGCCAGTTTCCGGAGGAAGAGGAGGGAGGTTGCGAACTGTGACACGGGAATCCAGAGAAGAAGCGGCGGTGAAGTGTGTGCCCGCATCTTTCTGCTGTGAGAGCCGCCCTCGCAGCTAGCCACATCCACCTACGGGCCAGCCCACCGGCCTCCGACTGAGTGCCACGTTAACAGAAGCAAGGGGCACTTTCCTAGTGTCTCTGCTTTTCTAGTCCTCTCCCCCCTAAAGATTTCCTTATTTATTTGAAAGGTGAGTCACAGGGAGAAAGAGATAGATCTTCCAGGCATTGAGTCACTCCACCAAATGCTTGCAATACACTGCGCCCCTGACATGGTGGGCAGGACCCCGCCCAGGGGCCACCCTCTGCCGCCCGGAGCTGCGTGGGAAGCGCGGAGTAGCCGGGCCTCCTACAAGGCCCTCGGCTGTGGGACGCTGGCGTCTCGGCTACACTGCCATCTTTGATTTGCTCAGCTTGACCTGCTGCTTGGCGCCCGGCTGGGCCTGCCGCGTGACGCGAAAGCCTGTCCTTGCTTTTGTGTGTGATTGTTTTGTGGGTTTTTGAAACATACTCCATCAAACTAAGGAGTTCCTTCTGTCCTGGCTGAGGAAGGGGTGTCTGCCTGTCTTCTGCTCATGAACGGCATTGAGTTCTGTCTAAATTTTTGGGGGGTAGGGGAGCAGATACATTAGACGGGAGGTGTTATCACTTAAGCTAAAGTTTCTCCCCTGGTTTCTCCTCTTGGCTGTGGCCACATGGTGTCCACTGTCCACATCCACAAAAAGATGGGCCATGCCCATGGGCTCGCGCGGCCTTGGTTTCCAAACCCACGAAATCCACCACGTGCTCTCTTGACCTGCTGGGAGCTGTGTGTGTGTGGCACAGGCTGTGTTACACCCCAGCACACGATCTGAAGGCAGGCAACATAGAGTGGAAAGCTGAGCCTGGTTTCAAGCAAAAAGTTGACATCCATGTGCGGTTTTTTTTTTTATAATACGTATTTTTCATGAGCGTTTTTGTAGACTCCTTTTATTGTATTTTGGTAAAAGTTACAAAATAAAAACAGGAATTTGGAGTGTGAGTCATCTTTTTCCCTAAAAAATAGTTTTTTAAAAAAAAAACTGAGAAAGGATAAAATCATTCAGTTTGGGGTTAGTTTAGGAAATTCACACCAAACTAAGCGAACATGCTCAGGAAGATATAAGCTGAATCATTTTGTAAGTGCTCAAAAACAAACGTAAGTTATTTATGAAAATAATTCTGTTTTCCTTCTTAGTGGAAGGTTTCATTCTGATGGGAACTTTGGCCAGGAGGGGCATCTAGGTGCTAAAGTGGGTGACTCCCTCTTTGCTGTTGCTGAGCAGGTGTTTCTGTGGGGGGGAAATGTTCAGGGGCCACAGTGAGAGAGGGCCTTGGCCTGTTGGTGGAGGGCTGGGCAGAGCTCGGTGAGGCTCGGCAAGTGTGTGCCCTGGTGCCCGAGCGCCCACCAACCTTTGTGCCTGGGATCGAATCCAGAGCCCTGCTCCTGATCCCGGCCCCATGCTGCAGCCCAGGCTGGAGACGGAGGCTGAACCGCAGGCTCCTGACTTCTGCCTGGTCCAGCCCAGGTGTTTGTAGCTTCTGAGAAGTGTTCCAGCACATGGAAGAGCTTACAAATAAATAACAGCAGTAAACAAAAATGTTAAAGTGACCATTCTCCTGCTTTAAGAATAAACAAGCAAACAGTACTCTATAAAGCACGTATCTATCATCTGCACAGAAAGGAAATCCCACTCAAGAAAGATCACTGGCTTGGGAAGCTTTCTACCCCATCTGCAGGCAGCTGCCTACATTGCATCGTACCTAGGCAAGTGTTACACTGCTGGGAGAATTAGCTGGTGGGCATCCTGGGCCTGGTTAATACCAAATTTGTATTAATTATACTAGTATGCCAGCATAGTTGCCTATTCTATTTTTTCTGAAAGATACATGGGGGCAGACTCCAGCGCACTGGAACATGGGGTCTTGGGCCTCGGGCAGGGCCCCAGGGCAGCACAATACACCATCAGATGCCGGGGCTTGGGTATCTGTATGCTCGTTAGTGGGGGCAGGGAGATTGCATTGCTAGAGAAATGGGGTCTAGGGTTGTGTGGGAGGGAAGACTGCTAAAGGAAAATGCAACAGGTGAGGAGTGACTTCTGGGGGGCTTCCCCCAAGCAGGCTACTGTGCTTGCAGGTGAACCAGGGGGCTGAGACGGGATGGTTTGGAGAAGGGAAACTGAAGGACCTTTTAGGGCCAAATCAATTCACCCATCCACGTGGGAGACCCGAGCTGGGCTTGTTGGTATCAGTGACCATCTACCAGCACACACAAAAACCATGGCTGGGGAGCCTGCCTGGTAGGGGTTGACCATAGTACCTGCCAATGTTAGGGCAGGGATGAACCAATTCCGGCTGGGCCATGACACTAACAAGAACATGAGAGAACTGGGTCTGGGAGCAGATTCTGTGAGCCTACCCATGTGGGACTGGCTACCAGCTGGTTTGCTTGAGGGCTGGGAGTGATGACGGGCTGAACAAGGCATAATCATGGAACACACCAACACTCAAGGGTGCTGGGGTTGGGAATAGGTTGGGTTGGTCCAGGCAGCAACACCTGCAGGTGCACCCGGTGGAGCAGGGTGGCCACAACATCCACCAGCACACACAAAGGCCAAGACTGGGGGCAAGGTGGGAAGACTGTGCCAAGTAAGTGCCTAGCACCTGCTGACACATATGAAATCTGGGCCTGGGAGTGGGCCAGGTGGGGAACCCTGGGGAACTGCCCTGGTGGGCCATCACTCCTACCGGTGAGCACGTGAGTCAGGCATGGGTGTGGATCAGGTCAGGCAGGGCTGCTTCAGTTGTCAACAGGTGTGTGGGTTGGCTCTGCAGATGTGAGCCAGGTGGGACTAGGCCAAACCATAACACACTGGCACACACGCAGGAGCCAGGATGGGCTGCGGGCTATGTGGGTGAGAATAGGCTGTCACATCTACTGGTCTACATGAAAGCCAGGGATAGGGGCAGTCTGTGCAGGGCTAGGCTGCAGCAACCACCAGTGAAAGTTGAAGCTGCAGATGGGGTGGGCCAGGCCAGGCTGCAGCATGCGATGGCAAAGGCTAAGAAGGGTGATGGATTATGCCAGGCTTAGTCAGAGCAATCACTGGCATGCACAAGATCTGTGGCTGGGAGCAAGCCTAGTCAGGGAGCTAAGGGGATGCCCCAGCTGGGCTGTGGTTCCCGCTAGTGAACATAAGAGCTGGAATGGGGCAGTGAACTGCACTGGACATGGCTGTAGTATCCCATGGCATGGGGTGGACTGTGTCTGAGGTATGCTAGACTGGGCTAGGCTCTCATATCCACTGGTGTCTGCAAGAGCCAGGGTAGGGATGGGACAGGCTATGCTAGGTCTCAGGACCCACTGAACCATTTGAGAGCTGGGTCTAGGGGTGGGCAGGAAGGGCTGAGCTGTAGCACCCAACAGTAAGAGCCAGAATGGGTGTGGACTGTTTGAGCAAGGCCGCTGTACCTGCAGGACAGGGTGTGGGCCAAGAATCTACCAGTGCATGAGATCTGCCAGAGGAAGGTGGCCTGATAGAGGAGCATGGGGAACTCCTCTGTTAGGACACAGTCCCTGAAGGTGAGCACAAGAACCAAGGCTGGGGCAGTCCAGACTAGGCCACGTTACAGTACCAGCCAGCATAAGTGTGGGTCAGTTCTGGGGGAGGGCCAGGCTAGGCCAGTTCATAACACCCACTGGCACATGTGAGAACCAGGATGGGGTACAACACAGGCAGGGTAGGACCATAACACCAGCCAGTTCATACTAGAGCTGGGTGTGGGTGCTGATTGGGCTGGGCTAGGCTGTAGCGTCTGCCAGCATGAGCTGGAACTGGGGCAGACTGGGCTGAGCCAGACCACAGTACCTGCTGGTGAATGCTGAAGTGAGGTGGGCCATGCCAGACTGATGCACAGCTCCCAATAGCACATTAGCAGCCCAGTAGGGGAGCTGTGAGGGTTCTCCCTGTTGGGCCACTGCTCCTGCTGGTGAGAGTAAAAACTCAGATGGGCAGGACTACAAAGCCCACTGGTGTGCATGTGACCTGGGTAAGGACAGCCAGACTGGGCTAAGCGACCACATCCACTGGTACACGCATGAGTCAGAGCAAGTACAAGGTGGCTGGGTTTGCCACAGCATCAGTTAGCAGGATCCGGGACTGGAGGCAAGTCCTGTCAAGCTAAACCTAGAACCACTTGTGAAGTACAAGATCTGAAGCTGAGAGTGGACCAAGTAGGAAAATTGTGAGCACTTCTCTGATGGGCTGCAGCTCCCACCAGTGAGTATGGGAACCAATGCTGAGGGTGGCCTCGCTGGACAGGCAGTAGCACCTGCCAGCATGAGTGTGAGCTGGACAGTGGCTCAGTTAAGCTGAACTAGGCTCCAACACCCACCAATGTGTGTAAGAGGCAAGTGGGATGCTGGGCAGACTGGCACATCCCTGCATATACCAGCATTCATAGGAATCGAGGCTGGCAGCAGGCCTGGTGGGGCTTCTGGGGTGACTCCGACTAGGCTGCAGTTTCCACTGGTGTGCATGAGGGCCAAGTGTATGGTGGGCAGGGCTGGGCCGGGCCTCAGCATCCACTGGTTTGTATGTGAGATGGAGCTGTGGGCAGAAGTGACCAGGCAACTGCAACTACCAGTGTGTATGTGCGGGCTGATATGGATGATGCGCTGAGCCAGACCCACAATGGCTGGCACACACACGAGTCAGGTCCGAGGGCACCTCTGGTGAGGTTTCTTTGGGGAACCCCCCCGACTGGATTACTGAATTCAAAATTCCAAACACAGGGAATATCACAATGTTGTGGAGTGCCTGTGTCCTCATAGATATGCATCTTTCTTAACTATATGAGCATTATCAAAAATAAAATAGATTTATTATACAGATTAAAAAGCTTTGCATATTTTGCTTTTGATTGTATCAAATCATAAAGGCTAATGATGAAATAATATGGCATTCTCTATAAACATCTGATACTGGAGCGCTCAGCGATGTAACACAGTTAGAGCTTAGGACTGCCTTGCCACCAAGAATTGATTTCTCAGTTGCATGATGGATCTCGCTTTTCCATCAGTGTTGATCACTCCTTCAGATTCAGTGAACTGCTGAAGTCGCTCCAACCTGCCCTCAC